TGTTCCTTACTTTCAACTCACTGTAATCCACCTTTCAACGGGCCAACAATGGCCAAGTAATGTAAGAAAAAACATGGGAAAAAGGGTAAAAGAGGTGGCACTCGACAGTCGAAGAGCATCGACTATCGTCATTCCGAATGGAGTCATCCTTGATTCCTTTTGCTATCCGCTTAGGGAATAAAAATAACTTGGCTACTGCATCTGGTGCCTTAGTTGAAGTTGTCTCCTTAAAGGTCAGTATCGTAGAACACCAAATGACTTGCCGTTTCGCTGTGGACACTCGACTTCGCGGACGCATTCGAGCAGTGTGTATGGATGGCCGCAAGAACAATGCCTTTCTCATGAGCATTGAAGCTGATTTGGGAGATGTTGTAAAAGCTTACCTGGAAAAACCACGACCTCCCACAGCGCCAAAGTTGACACACGTTAAGGTCGAAGGAAGTTGCACCCCTAAGACAGTTGTTATAACAACGGAGGGACGCTGTGCGTTTCGATTTGGTGTGAAACAGGAAGTTGATGTGACTCAAGTTTTGACGCCCTATCCTCCAGGCTAGAAGACGTAACAAACCACTCCTCGGATGTCTGTGCCTCATGTCAGCTGATTTCCACTGATTTTGCTAAGGAAAACAAATCTTTACAATACATGACTGCCTTTTGGCTTTACCAAAATATATGTGGGAAGCTTAAATCTTCGGGAAAGCACATCATGTAAATGGGCAAATCTCCGACGCTGGCGACACATGAGTATACTCTAACCTATAACTTTGTCATTCCTGTCTGACGAAACTGTATAGTCCCTCCAGATGCACAACTATGAATTCGTACATGCCATGCGATAAGAATGTAGAAACAGTGGGAAAAATTGAGCAGCTGTTATCCCTTGTAAAAGAGGTCACAAGGTCAGGAGTTGTGATAGTTCTGGGAGATACGTTTTCACTGCCAAAAGAGCTTCCTTGAAAAGGCTGATGAGACACCACTTACAGTTAAATTAGTATTTGACTGCTATGCTTAAAATGATTGCAGATTGTATACGGATATCACGCTTGTTTAACAAGCTGGAGTATGTAACACATTTTGATGGAAGTTTTATTGCAGCGTATCGAGAATTCCCTTAAGGTAGTAGACGGAACTAGGCGTGGCTAGATTCGTTGTACATAAGAGAGGAAGGAATGGGGTTGGGCTTTGGCTTTAGCT